GAGGTTGCTTTAATTACGCGTTGGGAGATACCCACATCCATCATTCGTTATACAACTCCCGAAGCAGACAGTTTTCGGTTACATCTAGAGAATTATTAACTAACGAAATGCAGACAAAAGCTCTTTCCAATCTCGTAGCAGAAACTGCTCACTGAAGATGGAAAGCACATGTCATGTTGAGTAACCTCAATCGCCAAGCTGTTTAATAAGTCTTGCATCGTCAACGAGAAAGGGAATATCATCTAGGAAGAAGCTGGGAGTCGAAGTTGGTTTCGTTAATTAACGCTCTAGCAGGAGAACATCTATAGCAAGCTTGAGGAGAAACTGAGATACAAGATTGTCGTATCACACCGGCTACAAGAAAAGGCTAAAAGTTCACCATATTCCCTAGCCTTTCTTGAGGTTTGACGATTGACTGCTTTTATAAACAGCGAACTTCCCGGGTACTCCGTTTTTCAGCAAACAGTTCCATAGAGCAGGCGATTGATCGAGTTGTAGGTCACTCTGATTTCCAAAACAATGATAATTTATTGCTTGTGTGGCAGTGTTATCTATGCAACTACGAAATGGACTAAACCCGGGCTGGTCTACGAGCATTTCTCTCGCGAATCAGACTCAAACTGCGTAATGAAGTAGATGCCAACATCTTTGACGCTAGTGGAATCAGAGTCCGACAAAAACAAAACATAATTACTGTAAAAACGGATCTATGATTCTCTTTTGGTTTCGCGTACGGATCAAAACATTCGTCGCTTTTTGTTTGAATCTTATATGTTTTCATAGATGTTGTCTTATCAAGGGTGGGTCACCTGTTTACGCCTAATCGAGCGGTCGTCGCCTTTCCCGGTGAGCTACGCCGCACCGTTATCCGTACGATTATGCTGTTGCACAAGTCACAAAAAGAAGTGGAGGAAACTAGAATGCCGTACGGAATTCACGTGTGACGGCTACACTAAACGATATTCTGTGCAATTTTGGTGAACTAACTGTGTATCAATACGATATCGCTTTTCGATTCATTAGAAATTCAGATGTCCCGAATACATAAACCATTGATTCGATGGTCCTTAGAATCGATATGACTGTCGGAACGAAAATCACTGAACTATGAAGACTGACGTGAAACAAAGGTCACTGATGGTTGAAACGCTGAATACACTGATGAGTGATTGCCTAGATAAGCTCGAAATAACAAACAACTGCCATTTGTTTCCCAAGCTAAGTGATGCGAAAGGTCAATGAAGTCGATGACCAAAGAAACATGGGTTCAATATGACCTGGGAGAAACTTGAAATTTGCTCTATTGGTACAAAGTAAGTCACAATGTTTCATAGTCTACATTAGGTTTTTGCTACACGCGATTACAAGCGATGGATAAGTATCACATTTGCAAGCGTTTTGCAGCCATGGCCAACGAACGGATAACCTCTGCTCGAGAACCGGTAAATTCCTCTTCGGCAAAATCACTAGGAACATCTGAGTCCTCGCCTTCCTCATCACAGTCCTCCTCGTCTTCATCCTCTGTGTCATCCTCATCACCATCATCGAATCGAATAGTCACATTCGCGTTATCGGTCCCGATAGACTCGGCACATACATCTCCATCCATTCCCGAATGAGCCCAAGGGACTGGTCGGTTTGTCTCGTCGGAAACCAGACCATATGGTCGGGATGGGCCGGACAAACTACCGTCTTCGTAGTTCGATACGCGGTGGCTAAGAGATCCGGTGACCGATGATCGAAAATGCGGTGGTTCACGCTCGTAGAAAAGAAGATAGGCTACGCTCGATTGCACCTCCTCCGGAGGAACACGAAACACCTGCTTATCTGAGGTGAATATCCAAGGGGAAGAAAGCACACTCGCGTTGTTTGGGAGAGCACGGAAGAAATTGGTTAGGGAGAGCAATGATGATCGGACAATGCGTGCAAAAAAATGTCGTTTTCGGTTTGCCAGTGGATCTATTCTATGCCATGTTCGATACGCGAAATAATGTCCCGAGTGCACGGATTCACCTTGGTGCACGAGAACTGATCGCAGAGTGTAGGAATGGTGACGACTGTAGGGAAACAGTTTGAAAGAATCAGAGCAAAAATTGCATGGTACTGTGGAAATTAGCATGCATATGCAATGACTCAGACGTAATGACGAAAATCAACATCAACAATGAGAAGTTTCAATCAAGCGATAAACAAATCCGTTTAATTGGATTAAAGACGAGTCATTCCTCAATATTTCGATCAAACATGGACAATATTCTATGAGGCAAAAGTAGATACGCTGTCCAAATAACACGACATACCAAACCACACAGCTCAAATTCCAGTATCAGGCAGATTTCAAGAAATTTCTATGATGCTTAGCTGAAAAAGTCAGCGGCGTTGCTAGGATTTAAATCCAAGTGTGGTGGTTATTCGTGGGCTCCGAGTTCCTTATTCACTCAGATAACATGTAAAAGACGATTGTAAGAAAAATAAGATAGATCTCAAAATTATCGACACTCACGGGAAGACAATGGGGTAGATAACGTTGAATATAAAGTCCCTGCATAATTAAAAAATAAGTACGATCTGAATTATTTCCATCGTCAGGCAAACAAAATTAATGTGAGTCACTAAACGACAACACACCACTGCGCAAATAATTTTTGAAAATTTAAAACGCCCGTGCGTCGAAAAGTGACTGTCCATTGATCAAATACGAGGAGAGGTAAAGAACTGAATACCGTATGATCCTCGCGACAGCACGAGGAAATGTTGGTTGACAGGATGCTCAACCTACCGAAAATGGGAATCAAGAGAGTCGACTGGAGCGTTTCGGTCACCAAGACTATTCTGACGAGAACCGCTGCGGGCGTTTTTGGATGAGAGCATAAAGTTTGTCATGTTCAAGTGGTGGGGGAAAGACAAATAATCGGATCGTTTCTTAGCCCCACCGGCCCAACTGCCTCGGTATTCATTCGACAAGCGGAGACCCATCCATTCACCTCGTTGCACATGAATAACCAAACAAGAAGGCAAATGAGCAATCCATCGTTCCTGCAGACAGTAATTCGTACTCGTCGCACACGATCGACGCTCAGTTTTTTGACATTCGGGACACAAGAAATCATTGAGCCTTTCACTAGTGCCAAACTCTTTGGACAGATAATCGGACAAGGAAGGACAACGTGGAGAACATCGGGAATGGGAAAGTTGGCGCCGTCTAGACCCCCGAGAAGGGTTAGATACAGAAACTGTGGGATCTGCAAGACACCAAAAGAAGCACCTGTTACGTTTTCCTACATTACCGACTAAAATAACTATCGAAATAAAACAAACCAGAATCGTTATCCTTTGGAGATGTGTGGTTCGTAACAGTTGTCCTCTGGCTTTTTAGGATGAACATGGTCCCAACCAAGCAATGCAAATGTTTGAAGATAAGTACGAAAGAGGTATGATGGCACTTCCATAAATTTGGGAAAACTGATAATCTTGGTAGACAATATGTAACCTTCTTTCGTTCAATTACACATCCATGCGATATATGCTGTTCTGAGTTGGACTTTGTTGTGTTTTTCGTATTCAGCACCAAGCTCAGTATTTTACAGAGATCCGGAGTATACTGTCATGCAAATATCACACTTGCCTTCTCGGGCTTTGGAACAACACAAAAACAATCAGTTAGGGAGCTATTTTGCTGGGTCAGCATCGAGATAGAAATACCAATGTTTTTCTTGGCCTTCAAGCCAAGCACTGATGGCTCCCTTTCAGTCACCGAATACTCACAATTGAGTGAAATGCCTTTGGAATCGGTGGGAGTAACCGTACATTTACCTAAGATGGGCAACGAATGACTGGTTACACCATTCACAACAATGTCGGTGTGAATCAATTTAGCAGTTGGATATGGTTGGAGTAAAACAGGCACTAGAATGAAAGACTACACAGTCATTATCAATCACAAAACGACGGTCAATCTGTCCACGCATGAGATAAGAGCGAACAATGTGTCGTCCTGATGATACTAGTGTAGCAAAAGCAAGACTATGAGTAACACTGGTATAAGATTCCTCTCGGGATTTTGTAAGCAGTACTTTGTAATGTTTGCATACAGGACCAAATATGTTTCACAAGAACATACTGAAGCATTTCGAATTTCTGAAGGAACAGGTGGATCAAGAGTGGAATTTGCCGTAAGAATAATACTTTCCCAGAGTAAAAACAGAAGTACATCTCTTTTATTTCGAATGTGGTGGATTGAAACGAGAATTATGTCCAAATTCGGACTCACGATTTAAAACGGGACAACGTTTGACTTCTTGGAAACGGAATCAGAAACCAAGACAGTTGCTATCGATACACTTAGATCAATCACATACCCCGAACATTCTGCTGTGTAGGTTTGGGTAGAAGCAGTAGCAGTCATTATTATCTTCATCATCATACAGCGAAATACAGTGAAGCGAACGTCACAGATCGCCGCCAAACTCGAAATGCACACAAAGTTAGTGGTAATATGAAGCAGAACGGGAACTGAACCTATTTTAACGGAAAGTCAAGGTCTTTTATCATTGAATAAATGGAATCTGCAACAGCGCTCGAGAACAGTTGTCTTCCTCACATCCGAAATGTGATAGCACGAAATGCACCAGACAGGTGAATTTAGATCCAGAAACTTCAAATTACAGGTCTGTGGGAGAATGAATAACTGGGGCAATACCAAGTGTGATACTTCTGTAACAGTATACGGATAGTATAATATAGTATATCCTAGATTTGTATAGATTACTGAGGTTGGCGCTGAATACGAGAAGCTCAATAAAGTAAACACAGAACAGCATATGCAGCATGAATGTGTAAGTGTACAAAAAAGGGCACACTCCTACAGGATATGGATATAAAATACGTTACTCATTGCGATGGCAATATTTATCAGTTGCAGTTTGTACAACCATTAACCATGCATGTTGGTGCGCCGGTTTGGGCTAATGTCTTTTGGCTGCCCATTTGGATGAACAGTAGGAGAAAAACAGAAAATTTGAAAGTAGAGTCGAAGAGAAAAGGGCAACTTTCAGTGGACTAATATCGCAAAGAAACCAAGATGCACGAACGTTAGCGTTTACGACACTAAGCCAATAATCATCAATCATCGCAGAATAACGGTCTTCGGATTTGATTTTATCGAAAGATGAACTCCGAACGTTTCCAACTTTTGTTAACTGAATTGTTTCTGAGTGCCAACTTTATTTGCATTATGTTATGAATTCAGCTTGATACCGCCACTAGCTTTCCTCCTTCATTGAAATGGGTGGCTAAAATGCAGTAATCAAACTATACAGGAAAGTGACTGGTTGTGCAAACTGAAGTGATGTGCGTGCGTGTATTCCATCACAGATTACACCGGGAACTCGTACACTTTTGTATCTTTTCTTATTTGCTTTCTAATTAGTGAAACAGCTCCCACGCACCGTAATGCTTAAATTCTATGGTAAATAAAGAATTTTAGACAGGATAAACATAGCTACTAATCGATTATCATCTTTTGCCACATTGGACAAATCGATGAGATAACCTTTTGACTTCAACTTTGGCGGTGTAATTAACCTCTTCTTCCACTCATTCTGTATACAGTATTAGAGCAAATCGTGAACTGCTAGATCCAGCTGCCCCAAATTCGACGCGTTTAACAGATTTCAAGCGTTTGCGCCGCGGAGAGCACCGGAAAAAAAATCAATTCGAAAAACGAAGAGAAATAAAAACGATGCGTTTTATTTGAAGATTAAAATAATTTAAAAAAATACGGTTAACAACAAGCATCTTTGGAGGTCAGGAACTTTGAAATAATTCAGAGGAAATTACTAAATAAACCTGCAAAAACTACTACCTTTGATAAAACGATTGGAGGTGAGCACGACTGTCAAACAGGTACCCCCAAAATTACGAGTAACCGCCAACTTACCCAAACATAATGTGATACAAGCCTCGGCCTGTAGGCTGGGAGAACTTCGATAACCACAGTTTGTACAAATCACCTGATTTGCTAAAAGGTGGCGTTGAAAGACATCGGTTCGTAGAGGATAACGGAAGGCGTAGGTCCGACTTTTGCCATTGACTAGACCTCGATGAAAACAATGTGGACCAGCCTATAAGCGAATAAGAATGATGTGTCAAAAAAGTCGACTAAATTAAAGTAACAACAACAACTCACATGTTCAAAACGAGATCCAACTAACTGGGAGACTAAACTCAAACCTTCGGTGGCCTTTGAAGCGGTACGCCCTGGGGACTGACTGCAAGCGACATCCATAAAGTAAGTAAACAACTCCGGTGCATCCTCAAGGAGGCCGAATTGAAAACAGTGTGTAAAGAGAATGAGTGAATGAAAAANATCAAAAACGCAATCTTTCAGTCATTTATACGAACAAACAGTCTACTGGGAGAAGTGCTGTTAGGATTTCCGTTCTGCCTAAATAATTTAGGTCTTGATAATCAAGCGATTCAAGTCGTTACCACTTGAGTGCACCAGGCGAGCATCAACATCTCACCCTACATGAATATGAACGGCCCTTCTGACACCAAGATCAACATCATTCCCATCTCTTCCACCAGTCAAAATCACAAGGGCATAAGCTGGCGGTTTCGATATTCTAAAAATATGGGTTTTAACTACAAACTTTTGTGTGGATATCGTAAACGGTGGTGCTCGTGCCTCTACTCAATATCCGTATAACCGTGGTCTACAGGAATTCTCTATTTTTACATCGACACTTTCCTCAACATATCAACCAGTTCTGTACTCCTTCATCTAAGTGGGCAGCTAAAAGACAGCAACCAAAACCGATGCGCGGAAGTGACAGACCAGTGGTCGTTTAAACTGAACACAACGTCATGCGATGAACAACGAAAGAAGAAAGCCCATACCGACGGGGACCTCATGATAATCAGCAACTTCCCCATTTCTGTATTTCCCCAGGCAGCCTTTGTACGGTAGCTGCCACAAACCTGAAGGTTGACCACATTTGCATACTCAATAAAAAGGAGTTGAAAACTTACTATTAAATGAAACCATGAAACATGGGGTTGTGAACTTCAGGGATATCGGGTTGGGTTTTTTTCTTCACATGTTTAGTGCACCGTAGTGTGCAGTAAAAAGTATGTACGGCCCATCTAGACTGTGAGCATTTCTCGGGCAGAGAACAAATATTTCCGTGAAAAAATCAATGAGCAACAGACAACTAATGTGGAAGACTGTTTTTCCGAGTCCCGGTCAGCACCATCGCCTAGCCTTCGGCACTTTATGTGGCTCGCCACTCCTAGTTCTAGGGCTAGGTTGATAGTTACCTCTCACCTCACTATCAATATTACAACTAACGGGATCACCACTCAAGCACACTCGACAACCGCACCCACTAACATTAGCAGCATGAACCACAATATTCATTCTGTACATCAATTTATTCAGTTTAATTCCTCTTTTTTATTACACTCAAGTGTGATAAACAGCAGACGGGGGAGCCCTATAGTCACGAGGACCTGTTGTTCAGTGGTGGAAACCGGTGATCTAAGCTTCAGGACTCGGAGTGATGAACCACATAAGGCCCCGATAGGTTAGGTGTGGTATTGAACCGGACGACAGCACGACTGCCTACCACCAAATTTCACTCAAATTTCCTCCGAAACACAACTTTATTCATCTACAGGCACCACCCGTCTTAAGTTTTCCAATTATTTTAAGTTTTCATGTTGGTTTCTACTGAGTTGGTATCTGATGCATATTTTGAAATGAGTTTCCAAAGGCCCCCTCCCAAGAATTAGTGAGGCTTTTGAGTCATCAGTGCTCTCATAAAGCATCTGGTGGGGTCCGTCTGCTCATTATCTTCCCGTGGCAACAGGATGTTTAATAAGGAAGGAAGGAGAAAAACCAATATGTTTGGCTTAAAGAACTAAAAGCTGCTAGCGCACTTCCCTGAGCTGGGAACCCCCAATTCCAGAATCTTCCAAAACATCATGGTAGCGACAGTCACTGGTTTGATTGAACTACGGGGCGTATTAGCACTATGGGTGTAAGTTAAACCCGAAAGGTGTGGGGATCCGGTTGATTGATACTAGACCTTTTTAAGAGACCGTCGTTTTTATCTACGACCCCGACGCCTTTTGGGGTTTGGATCTGAATAGCCAAAGACTTCGATCGTAAATCCTCAAGAAAATTATCCGCTTTGATTTAGGTGCTTCTCAACATCCCGCCCACGAACAAACTATGGGTGGATATTTTTTGTTACAGAAATTTGTGTGTGTTTGACAAGTGTAAAATACAGTACATATTCTGATACATTCATTCAAACTCACTTGCTGATCATCCAGTGACCATCGTTTCGACTCCACAAGTTCGTTCAATAGCATTTGATGAGCTTCCAAAAGCACACCATCCAGGTTATTGGATGTAATATAACGATTAGTACATCGTAATCCTAGAACAAACGAATAAGTCAATGAGCTGAGTAAGACCGAACGCTGTAGGACAAGCTTTTTTAAACCGCACATTGAAACACACTACTTATATAAATAAGAGGCAACTTCACGCAGCTGGAAAGAGTCAATCAATGTTCAGAAACATCCAAATGCATCCCATCCACACTATTCATCTGAAGTTAGGTCTGCATCCCTCGATAGCAGAACTTAGTTGCACCTCTTTTGTCTAGTGTTATAACCAGATCTAACATAACGAGAGGTTCTATTGGGTACCTTGAGTACGAACCAGTAAGACAGAAAACAAATTACACAGCAATCCCAATTTGGTTAAATTCCTAACCCCACAGGAACGGATTGTTTTTTAAAAACGCAATGCGAATCTCTGCCAAAAAATCTGTGAGGTCAACAAAGAACACTGGATAGTTAATCATGAATAGTGCGCACTATTAGTGTCCCTGACGAGAATCGAACCGTGAACCCTCGGGCTGGAAGCAGAAGCCTTTGCAATTGAGCTACACAGGTGACAGGTAAAACTTAGTAATACGGATTAAATGTGATCCTGATGTCTGTGAATCGGCGTGCAAATTTCTGTGTTTCACTAAAGTTTGCACGCTAATGAATCTGAATGAGTTCCGGATTCCAAAATTCTTCTAAGAGTTTGTTTCTCGTTGTGAGTTCAAGTATGATTACGACTCTGCCCGATAACCTTCGAGTTCTTTATTTTTGATCGCAGAGTGAACCATCTCGTCCGTTTTTCTGTATATTATGCTAAAGTAACAACGAACTGATTCCATGTAGATTATTTAGTTGTAATAGCGTTGCTTTCATGTTGACACATAATTGATGAAAGGGCAGTAAGAAACACCACCTACACAAAATGTCAAGCTGCATGCGAAAAATTAACGATGAAACTCAAAGCAGACAATAACATCACCCAGAGACATCTTTCCCCCTATCGCGACATCTTTCTAACCGTGAGAAACTAGTAATGTTTTTGCTCCAATACTATTAGTCGAAGACAGATGTAACAAGATCAGAATACGGGGTATCGTGCCGCGTAGCATTGCAATTTTAATTCTAGATTAGCAATTTTTTTATTCGACGGTAAAGTGCGATTTAGGTTCCTTAGATTCAGGGTGGCTAGCTTATACTACACAACCGGAGTAGGAAACTGGTGCAAATGCAAGATGTTGATTATATGATGATAGGGCATGGCTCGAATATACCCTCATTACACGTTGGAAAAAATAGAAGCGAACGGGCTTGTTTGAGGTGATTTCTCTGCAGACTAACACATCAAAATTAATGTCAAAGTATTGAAGGGGAGGGGAAGAATCATGACAAAATGGGGAGAGAAGAATAATCAACATTCCAGTACCATTACCGGACATTTCTCACACTTTGTTCATCACACGTACATGGTAGAGAATTTTTTTTTACAGGGACCCCATAAGCTTTGGTTTATTTGAATCGAGTAAACGTATGCATATCAACAGTGGGCATCCAAACACAGCTGAAGAAGAGTTGACTTAATTACAAGTAAAAGCACTCAGACTAACAATTTATCGGGGTTACGCTTATACCATACACCGGTACTCACCTTTCAAAATACAAACAAGACAGTAAAGCATTTTGTTTGGATGTAATCTGGCGCTCCGTTTCAAAAATCGAACCAGAGTGGAATTGGAAGACATAGCTTGTAGTACAGCATTAAGATAGCATACGTTCTTGGGATTCGGCAGTCCAATTGGAAGATCATTTTCAGGAGCTTGTAATGAACGGGTGTAGGAAAAGAGAAATGAACTTAGAGGTCGAAT